TCTGACAAATAAATGAATAAAATCTGTAAAAAAAGAGATAGATGAACTAATAGAAGTAAAATGTTTGGAATAGTACCTGGTGCATAGAAAACACCCTATCAGTATCAATAATTACTGTCGTTGTTGTTACTTAAGTCAGCTTCGTTCAGACCAACCCCAAAATTCAGTCAATCTGCCTAAGAGATTAAGTGTTGAATGCATGAACTATTATGCAGATACTAGGGTTAAAGGGGAGCAAGCCAGGCTTAAGCAACATTGCTCAGTGGACAGACATCTCTGCAGGTATGTACAAGTGAATTGGAAATGTATGCTGCTATGCTGAGCCATGTAAATACAGGCCCAATAGAAGCTGAGGCACCTATCTTGAGATTTAAATGGAATTGGCTCAAACTCGGCCTACATACAGTGGGACTAGCACAATGTTTCTTCCTATCTGGGAATTCTGAGATTATGATTTATGCTTTCCCAGGTCACTTCTGGTGCCAAGCTTCTGTTCCTGCTGAATTACTTCATCTGTGGATTGCCCTACTGTCCAGCATGCCTTCCCTGGCTGTACCACGTTGCTATAGAGAGGGAAAAGAAATCCCTTCCTTGATATCCCTCACAAAACACCACTGGTACAAAGCTTTTGTGTACATAGTAGAATCTTACTAAAGGTTAGGAACAATAGAGTGACATTATGTTACCGAGTCACAGACCAAAGATTCACAAATCTTCTACCTCTTAACCCTCTTCCTAAAAGTGCTTTGACTGACTTCATTTATCACCAATTTCAGTCAAGGTTCTTTGTTACAAACAACAGCCACAGAAATTTTGGCTGATTTAAGCAGGAAAGGAATCTCATAGAGGACTGAAGAACCAGGTTGGAAGTCTGTGTCTCCAGAAATGACATGCAAAATCATGCTGCGGAATTGGTCCAGTGAAGAAGCTTCACTGTCCCTGCTGGGCAGTGAATTGCATGCATGGCAGCTTGCACAACTGACAAAAGTAGACAGTGCAGCTCTAACTAATGCCATGGCTGCTGCTGCTGTTGCCACCTTTCTCCAGAATGTATTCTCTATAGTCCCTGCTTTGTGACATCATTAGTCCCCTATCCAAAATTTAAGGCAGGTGCATTTCGTTGCTGTGGTGTAGGTCACGTGCCCAAGTCTAGCTGCAAGAGAGGCTGGGAAAGCAGTCTCTTTCCAAATCTATCCATGCAAGTTGTTTATTACAATGTTCTCTATGCCAGTGCTTCCGGAACTTTCATGTGTTTGTGAACCATCTGGAGATCGTGTTGAAATGCAGCTTCTGATTCAGTAAATCTAAGATAGGGTCTGAGATTCCATGGCACCCGGTTGTTGCAAAGCTGCTTGAGGACCACAATTTGAGTAGCAAAGCTCTATAGCGAAGATTTTCAAATGCTAGTTGCATATTGAAATAACTTGAGAAACACTTTAAAAAAAATACTGATGTCTGGGTCTGACCCCCAGCTGATTTAATTGGTCTGGGTAAGGCCTGGGAATATAAACCTCTAAAGGCTTCAGATGATTACAATGTACTCAGATTGCATCTTTCACTTTAGGCTTCAACTTCTTGTCACTTTTCAAGGTGAGTTCTTTTTTTTTCAAATTGCAAAATGTCCATTTTTCCAGCCTTGCTTGATTTCCCTTTCAAATTCAATTACTCTCACTTATTATGCAGAACAATTTGACACTCCACCCCTTAGTTCCTTGGACCTAATTTTACACATCCAAAGATTAAAAGAATTCTCCCAGTCTAGCCCTTTCCAAAAGTATGTAACCTGTTGCTCTGGAAGAGTGTGATCTGAAGTGATCCTTGGGTGGTGTTTTTAAATTTTAATATTTATTTTGATCTGAATTGTTTAAAAAAAAAGTAACTAACACAATGAATGTCATTTCATAAATACTACTGCTTAGGACAATAAGTCATTTTTTAAAAATTAGGTAAATAATGATATAGAGATTCAGAGCAGATACAACAAAAATCTTGAAAATGGTGTGTAAATGAATGAAGTTTGAGGGTGCTTATACGAATTATAAGACTTCTGTTAAAAATCCCAGGCTTTAGGAATATAAAAAAACTGGCAGAGAAATTAATATCAGTCTTTTTTCCTCTTCCTTCCCTTCCAGTCCTTGCAAGATAAGGAAACAATATAGAGATCTATTTCTGAATTTATATGAATTATGCTACCAATCTTAATACATAAAAATGGCTACTGATTTCAATAATGGCTACTGATCTTAAATACCAATTTTTTTCTATTATGTGAAGATTTCATAAAGTTTCAAAGTAATACCACCAACATTTGAAAAAGTCATAATCTAGTCAAAAATAACTATAAGAATTGAAAACTGTGAGAATTAAAAATAGGTTAAATTCTTTAACCAGTTAATCTTTGACAAGAAAGGTGAAAAAAATTATAAGATTTTATTATTTATTTTATTATTTTTTATTTGAGTGAGAGAAGGTGTATGTGAAAGAGAGCACATCAGGGGCTGGGGAGAGGGAGAAGCAGAAGCAGATTCCCCACCAAGCAGGGGGCCTGATGTGGGGATCTACCCCAGGACCCTGGGATCATGACCTGAACCAAAGGCAGATGCTTAACTGATTGAGCCACCCAGCTGCCCCCAAGTGAAATTTTTTTAGAATTGTTGAAAGTTCATCCACAAACCCACAAAGCCAAAAAACTCCTAAGCAGAAGAAAATTTTCAAACTGCCCCAGTGACATCATTGTGAACTTTTTAGAACACCAAAGCAAAATAGATCTTAGCCAGTATTATATTAACAGATTTCGCAGTAGCAAAAAAACTAGAAGATGATAAAATAACAGGTTCAATATTCTGAGAAAAAAAGACAACTGTAAACCTAGAATTATATATCTAGTAGAATTATCTTCAATGATCAAGAGCAAAATAAAAGTATTTTAGGTGGGGAAAAATCTGAGCACATGACATTCTCATTAAAGGAAATTCTATAGAATTTAGGCACAAGGAAAAGAATCCAGAAAGATCTGAGATATACAAAGAAATGGTAAACAAAATAGTTTTACAAATATTGGTGGCTCTAAAAAATATGATGTCTAATTTATAGAAGGAAAAGAACTAATAATAATAGTTTATAAATTTAGAGGGGTGGTACAGAGTTAAAACATCTTAAGAGCTTTGAATTGAAGTGAGTAAAGACATTTATTAGTTTTAGACTTGAAGTTTACATGCTAAAATAGTAGAATCACCTTAAAATATACAGAGTGTATTGCTCCAAGTGAATAGTGTGTTAATATTTTTCATTTTGAGGGTATCTCAAAGGGTCCTTTCTTATGAGTATTCTGTTGAGCATTTTGTGGAACTATCCATCCAGGTTGGCTTTATGTTTGTCTCTGGAAGGCATTCCAGACCCCTTGTCCGAGATCTTTTCGGGGAAGAGGAAAGGGCTGGGGAATCAATTTCTAAGTTTTGAGATTCTAACAACATGTAAGTGCTAAAAATTAAACTCCAAACTCTTATGAAATGCAGGCAATGGGTTTCAAAATTTCATCAGAGTTAAATAATTTTTTTCTTTTCATCCAGAAATGGAACAAGCTTCCCCATCTGGTTATCTACTGGGTGTTTTATATTTTCCCTCATCTATCCTTTTCCTGAGGATTATGTCTTTCAGGGAAAATGGCTTTCTGTAGTGTATCCCTTCCCGCTCCCACCTTGAGCTACTTCAAACCCTTATCTTCTGCCCATATACTTCCAGACCTCTGGAGACTAACAACATCCTGCCCACATTGAGGATGGCCAACTAAATGGTAATCCTAAATGGTTTGCCTGGGACCTGGTTCTCTGGGTTTGGGGTTTTTTCCAGGGCAAAAACCAAGAAAAGTCCAAGGCAAACTAGTTTTGTTGGTCATTTTACACCCCAGTCCCCATACCTAGGACTAAAGAATAATCAGTGTAAGAAGTAACTACTACCGTATTCAGTTTCAATTTCTGGCATCTTCATATTTCCCTTCATTTCTTATGGGTTTGGCTAAATATTTAAAATAAGGCTAGTTATTATTTTATCCAGTAACGCTAGGTATTGGTAGTGGAGAAAGTTTTCAGGTTACAGAAGTCCACCACTATTCCACCTCACCAAGTGACATTTTTATGCTTTTCATCAGTACAAAATAAAGTTTGAAGATTAAAGTCATAGCTGGTTATCCTGTGAGTAAAGAATGCTGGCATGGTTCCCAAACGTGTGTTATTTGCTCCACCAACTGCCCTACAGCTCACCCTTGCTCTAGGCCTTGTTTCTCAGACCCTGAGAATGTTCTAGAATTCTCTAAGCAGGCCTAGTTTCTTCCTGTAAGGCCTAGAAAATAAACTTTCGCCCTTACAATTTAAAACTCCCTGAGGTTAGAAATGTTCGCCTGTTTTCTTGAATTCTGTAACTGTGGTACCTGGTTGTAGTCACTCAATACCATCAAAACATTTCTTGGAACTGGAGAACGCCCTGAACACCAACCAAATTGGCCTGCCCTGTTTTTCAATCCAACTCCATCTACTTCAAACTTGGCAGAAAAACGCCCAAGTTTGTGGACTTTTGGGGTCTCCTTCCATGTTTTTATAAGCTTGGTTCTATTTTCTCTTTCTGTAGGCATTTAACTGATTTTTGGGGGCGATGATAGGGTAATCATGATCGGGCTAATCCTACGCGTTCAGGGCGCCATTTTGAAATTAGAGCCTAGACGCATTAAAATTTTTTTAATTTTAACATATATTTAAAGATGCATATTCATTCAAGTGCACCTCAAAGGCATTTTCAGGGTGACACCTGTGTTGGGGGGGGGCGAGGGAAGGTCTGTCAGTCTGTCTCACGTCTGTACTTCCCTGACTGCGGAGAGCCGGCCCGCGCGCACCCCCTGCACACCCCCGATCAGAGAGCCGGCATCCCCCCTAAACCCCCCCGCAGGGGGCGGGGGGCTGCCACCCATTGGCTGAGGCGTCTACCACGAGCCCCCGTACCCGGCGCAGGAGCCACCTCCGGGAGCCCCGCAGGCCACGCCTCAGTTCGCCAGCGCCCCTCAGCCTCGCCACTCTGCTCTTAGGGCTCCTCAGCCTCACCGCTCGCCTTTGATTTTCCTCAGTCCTCTGACTTTTATCCCTTTGCCCAGTCGAAGCCGGGCAGTGCCACGAGAAGACCCCACAGCAGCCCCAAGAGTGGTGCCAGAAGCGCAGCCTCCGCTCCTCCTCGAGCCTCACCAGAGGGAACTGCTAGCTGCCGCCATCATGGTGAGCGGAGGAGAAGGCCTAAAGGGCCCACGCCGGGTTGGGTCCTCCCGGGTGGTGGAAACTCGGCTTTTCTAGCGCAGTGCCGGAGAGTGGCTGAAAGCGGGGTCACCCCTTTCCCTTCCTGGGTGCACCACGGACAAGGCCTGAGAGAGGAGGTCGAGGCAGCCCAGAGGGGTGGAGGAGGGGCGGCATGCCCGTGGGTGTCGCAGTGGGTGGAGGCCCTCAGGGCTCCCTGTCCCACCCGCTGCCTGCTGACCACGTGCGGGGTTGCGGCCTTCACGCCGCCCCGCCTGCCTCCCGCCGTGGTGGGCTGCGTTGTGAGGGGGGCCCTTGGAGTGGGCCTCCGGGACTCAGCGGGGGGAGGGGGCACCGCGCGCCCACCCCACCCCCACCCCGCAGGCCTCCCTTCCCGCGCTTACCCTGTGGGGGGGAGGCAGCGCGTCGGCCGCGAGATGGCGTCGGGCTGCCGCCTACCGAACTCCCGCTGGCACCGACTCTGAGGGAGTAGCCTTTTGACTTGGAGGGCCCGAGTTTCCTCGGCTAAGGGTTCCTTCCTGGCGGGTGGGTAGGGTGGGGGTGGGATGGGTGGGCGTGTTGGGAGCGGTGCTCTCCTGCGAGAATCCGTCGGCGGGCGGGAATCGGGCGGCGGACGGGACTGGAGAGCCTCCGTGGCGACCCCTTGTTCCTGACTTGGCGCTGGGTCCTCCCTCGTGCGGCAACCAGGGATGGCAAACTTGCCGACGCCATCATCTGCGCACGAGGTCGGGCCCGCCTGTGCTCCTCCCGAACCGCGGCCCTGAGTAGTTGACAAGTTTTGTGCTTAGGAGGGACCCTTTTTCTCTCCGGATAAACCAAGAATTTTGACATAACGTACCTACGGTAGTACTACCTTTGGGGTGTACGTTTATGTTGAGTTTGGGTAAATGTAGAGTTGCTTCATCACAAGATGCTACACTTTTAACCAACCTTACCTCACAGATGTATTATATACTGTGTGGATTTATAGTATGAGCGTTAGTCTCCCAATTTTCGAGCTAAAGGGAGGAAATTTATGTAGTTTATATTCCTGTATAGAAGTACTAAAATGAAAATGTATAATTATACGTATTATTCTGTAGTGATTATTTGTGTTACGTCATTATCCATGTTACTAATTACTTAATAACCACTGAGTTACTATAAAAAAAATTCCAGTATTTTTTTTCACTATATTTTTAGAGGGAAAGGGGGAGATGCTAATAGCTGGTTTTTTTTCCTGATTATAACAGTAGCATGTTAACTCATTTGAAAGTAATCAGTGTAAGAAAATACTGTCCCAACACCTCTAACCACTAGTCAAGTTTTGCTGTATAAATGCCCTTCCAGATTGTTTTTATGCATCAATTGCACTTAGATAGGTGAACTTTAATTTATAGAATTTGGACCATGTCACATAATACTTTTATTTTATATCCTCTATCCTTCACCTAATATAGTGGACCTTATTTCAAAGATAAAATGATTTTAAATATGTAATGTTAAGACTATAAGATTATATCGTTTATTTTTATCAAATTCCCTTATAATGAATACTTTTTTTGTTTAAAAAACAATACTGTAGTAAGTATATTTGTGCAAATGTTTTGGCATGCCTATTCCATTAGTTCCTTGAAATTAATTGCCAGGAGTGGAAACAACTGGGTGAAAGGCTGATGCCCATTTTAAAACAATTTTAAATTATAGTATATCCTTCCAAGTTACTCTTAATGGAACCAGTCCCAGTGTGTATTCCCACTGTATGTAGAGTGATCTCTTCTCCACACTCTTTCTAATGAGAATTGTTATAGTTTTTGAATTGCCAAACTAATAGCTGGAAAATATGTTTTAATGTGTTTTTTTTTCTTTTTGATGATTAAGTTGAAGTCATTAGTTTTCAAAATTTCTCATAAATTTTTAACGCACCCTTCTATTTGGATGTTTATCTTTTTTAAAGGATTTTTAAGAACTCTTATTAATTCTTTGTAATTTACAGTGGTGGTACAGAGTTGCCTTTATTTCCTAATTATAGTGGAACTGGCGGATTCATTTTAAGCCCCATGTTAGCTTAAAACTACATCAACAGAAGATTCTTCCCTTTTATTTAGGTTTTTAAAAATTAAAAAATGAAAAAAAATTTAAAAATGAATGTTGTAGTTTTTAAAATGCTTTTTCATTGGTGAGTTACAGTAGTAGCTTTCCTAAGAATGAACCATCCTTGAATTTTCAATATTAGAGATTGAGGTGGACCATTTTGATAAGGTTTTGTTATTGAGGTGTTAGTTTTGTAAAATGGTTTGAGTAATTCTCTTTTCTTGTCTTTTCTCTGGAATTTTTTTTCAGTTAAAGTGACTGTTCTTTTTTAAAGTTTGTTTATTTAAGTGATCTCTGTACCCAAGGAGCTGAAACTCACAACCCTGAGATCAAGGGTCAGACACTCTACCAACTAGGCACCCTTGAATTTTTCTCCTGCGCACCCTTGAATTTTCTTTCTCCTTTCTTCTGTCATCTGTCTACCATTGTTTCTGTCTTGGGTGCCCTGCACATGCACAAATAATCGGTTTCTTTACAGTCTGAAAAAACTCCCAGTGAAACTGAGCCCAAGAATCAAGTATTCTTTCCTTTCTTTAGATTGTTTTGTTTTTTTTTTTTAAAGATTTATTTATTTATTTATTTATTTGACAGAGATTACAAGTAGGCAGAGAAGCAGGCAGAGAGAGAGGAGAAAGCAGGCTTCCCGCTGAGCAGAGAGCCCGATGTGGGGCTCGATCCCAGGACCCTGGGATCATGACCTGAGCCGAAGGCAGAGGCTTAACCCACTGAGCCACCCAGGCGCCCCATCTTTAGATTGTTTTTTAAAATTGACATTTTTCTAGAAAGTTGACTATTTCATCAAGATTTCCAAATTTATTTCCAGAGAGTTTTTACATAGCATTATCTTACAATCTGTGGTCATAGCACCTTTTTCAAGAAAAATGTATATTTATGCTTTCTTGCCCGTTTTCTTGCTAGTTTGATTTATTGTTTGGATTTCTCCCCCTAAGAGTCCACTCTTGGGTTTACTTAGGAGGTCTAATTCTGATTTTCATTTCCTATTTCCTTTTAGCTTTTCTTTTTATTAGCTGCTACTTTTATGGGTAGAATTTTGATGACTACAAATTAGACCTTTTTTGTAGTCAGTTTTAGATTTCAGTTTGCTTGCATGTAGATATAATAGTTGAATGAAATAATATTAGTTGACAGCCCAGGAGCTTTAGTAATGATACAGCTTTTTTCTGGCTTTTAGTTAATTTTGTCATTTTGTTATCCAAGTAGAACAGTGAATGTATTACTATAAATAGCAGTGATGAGTATTGTGTATATGATGGCCTCCAAGTTCCGCCCTATTTAATATCCTAGCATTACTCATCTCAAAACCTACCAACTCACTTGAAGGTATAATTAAGAAAAATAATTACTTATTATGTTAAATTTGCTTTAAATTTACTTTCTGTATACTATTGATGGTTAAGGTGAATACTTTTAACATCAAACTTTTGCTTTAGCCTAAGCATTTATTTGTGGAGTGTTTTTAGCAATAGTTTAAAAGTATTAAAAGTTGTTTATTGGTTGTGGATGTTGTATATATAAATTGTATATTAATCATATGTATAAATTATAATTATATGTAAATATACACACAGTAAAAGTTTAAAAATCCCTTAAAAATCAGTCTTGGTAAAAATGGAGTACTTTGCTTACTTTGTTAGCTTTGAGCGCCCCCTGCTGGCTGAGGACTAAGACAGGCTAGTGCCTTAAGATGTTAAGACACTAGTAAGATGATTTGATGAATATTACATTTAATTTCTCAATTAACCAAACTGAATTTGAATAAAGCAATCCCAAACCAAACTTCCTATAATATGCAATGGACTTCTCCCCAAAATTATTGTTTAGTGTCTCAAATATCCATTTTACTTCTATAAATAGAATATGAGAATCAGAACTTTGCTTTTCAATTCTGTACACACTATCACAGAGTTTCTCAACCATGACTCTATTCACATTTTGGGACAGGTAATATCTTACTGTGGGAAGCTGCTTTTGCATTATAGGATGTTTACTGTATTCTTGGCCTCTTCCACCAGATATAAGGAGTACCCCTCAGCTGTAACAATCAAAAATGTCCCTGGACCACAAAATCTCCCCTAGTTGAGAAATAATACATTATCATAACTGTATATAATCTGGCACAGATTTCTGGCCTGATACTATATACCTCCAAATTAAAATACATTAATCCATTGTCGTTCGTGGATAGATAATACTAAATAGTTTGTCAAATAGAAAGCTATCCAAAGTTCATCCACAGATGAAGGGGAGATTGAGGAGAAAAGAAAGTCTATAAGAATTTCAGAACCACTGTTTTATTTGTTTTGACTTCCGAAGGAGCTAACTGAAAAGGATTGGTAAGTTGTTTATAGTGAAGGGAAATCTAGTTAAGTGTCAATGGTTCAAGATATGTGGCTTATGTAATACAGTCCCATGTAGAAAAAACTAAAAACAAAAAATGAAAAAAGTTTAGCAACAGGTTTTTATACTACTACATTGTCATGAAATATTACTATACTAGAGTTACAGGAAAGAATTAGGAAGTACCCAAATAGAAACATATAAAAGTAAGTACAGTTGACTTTTTTTTAAAAAGATTTTTATTTATTTGACAGACAGAGATCACAAGTAGGCAGAGAGGCAGGCAGAGACAGAGGAGGAAGAGGAAGCAGGCTCCCTGCTGAGCAGAGAGCTCAATGCAGGACTTGATCCCAGGTCTCTGGGATCATGACCTGAGCTGAAGGCAGAGGCTTTAACCCACTGAGCCACCCATGTGCCCCCACAGTTGACTCTTGAATAATACAGGGATTAGGAATGCTGACTCACCCTCCCTCCACACAAACTCAAAAGTTGGCATGTAAATTTTGACTCCCCCAAAACTTAATTACTAGTAGCCTACTATTGATTAGAAGCCTTACTGATAACACAAACCATTGATAAACACAATTTGTATGTTATATGGATTATATACTATATTTTTACAATAAAATAAGCTAGAGAAAAAATATTTAGAAAATTATAAGGAAGAGAAAAATGAATTTACAGTACTGTACTGTTTTAGTTTTTTTTAAATCTATGAATAAATGACCTGGGCAGTTCAAATCCATGTTTTCAAGGGTTAATGGTATGTGCACAGATTAATAGAGAAAAACCGAAACACATTTGGTGATGGGACAGTTCGGATTTCATCTCTAAATAGTATAACAATTTGTAGAATCTTAAATTTATCAGTAACTTCAAAAATCTAACAAAATAAGAATTCTAATTCAAAAAAATACTCTAGTATTGTTACTAATTTCTGTAAAAATCACTGTGCTCCTCTTTTAAAAAATATGTATCCATTGTTTTTTTTTTTACCCTGTTTTTCTCCATAAGAGGAAATAGAATAGGTTTCTCTCTTTTGTAGTCTTTTGTATTTCCCTCTTAAAATCAATAGGAACTTCATAAATGAACTTCAAATAAGTGGATATACTATAAACTAGTTCCTTGAAGTTCCAGTTGAAAGTAGTTGTTAATTAATAAAACATCACAAAATAAGTAAATAGTAAAACTAGGAAAGAAAGTTTTTATCCTCTTGAAAATAAATTCAAATAACAGGACACTAACTTATATTGGCATACCACATTATACTTTACAAAATGGATTTGCAGATGTTGTCTTACTTCAGTCTCGAAGCAGTTTTCCCAGATATAAACAGCTGCCAAATAAGTGGCTTCTAACTTAGTAAGGCAAATGAGTCTTGATCCCCTGACTAAATCCATTTTTTCGTTCACTATGCTATACTACTTTTCCAATATATATATTACCAGTAAATTTTGCTTCAGAAAAATTTATATTAATATTAGTATGGAAAGACTAAAGATAGAGGTCTGAATTAGAATCCAGAAAAATAATGAGTTTCATGTGTGGGTCTCTTCAACTGAAAATAAAGATAATGTCATTTTTTCTATTAGCCCACTGTGAAAATTAGAATTATCAGTGGGACTTACTTGGTGTTATTGAAGAAGAAAAATGTTATTTCAAAAGATGCTTTGAAAACCCTAGTACTAGAGGAAAAGATTGTAAGCCTTTTTCAGCAGGAGCTATGATATGTGAGCAAATAATGTTTTCATTTCTAAAGTAAATGCATACTAACACATGGCGTAGTTAATTATAAAATCCATGTTGATTTTGGTGACTAGAAAGAAGAGGGAAAACAAATCAGTTTAAATCTTTGATGTGTATTTTTGATAGAGATTTTTGAAAAGTTCATTTATATTTTTCAAAGATTTCCCGTGTTTTTTAATAAGGCACTTAATAAAGGGAAATTTTGTTTACTGGCATACAACAGGATGACTTTAAGAGCTATTTTTACAAATCTGAACTTTCCAGTTCACAAACTCAGTATAAAGTCAGTATTCTACTCTATGTAAGAGATGATGAGCAACACTGGTTTTAAGAGGGTCCTATATTCTTTTGTTAAAATTTCATGCTGATTTAGTTTAGTTTACTTCAGTTTAGTTTTAGAAAGGGGTGGGCTTCCGGAGAAGGAGAGGGAGAGAGAATCTTAAGCAGACTTCACACCCAGCAAGGAGCCGACATGGGGTTGGATCTCATGACTGTGAGATCATGAGCTTGACTGATTAAGCAACACAGGTACCCCTAGTCTGATTATTTTTAATCATAAACTTAAACTGAGCTGTATTGCTGGCCAATTTACTGTGAAAGTAATTTTGATGAAAATATTTTGTATTTTAAATACAAAGATTTTATTTCATATATATGGTTTTTGCCTGAATGTCTAGTGATGAGATCTACTTTCCAAATTACAGTCTGCTGCAAATCCTGAGACTCCAAACTCAACCATCTCCAGAGAGGCCAGCACTCAGTCCTCATCAGCTACAACCAGCCAAGGCTATGTTTTACCAGAAGGCAAAATCATGCCAAACACCGTTTTTGTTGGTGGAATTGATGTTAGGGTATTGTATATTTCATTTATTTAAAATATTTAGTGAATAAGGAGGTTGGGGCCCTGTTGTAAACACAAGGTTTTTTGGAATTTCATTCAGGTTTGGAATTGGGTTTATGTTTAATGTATAGGACTAAAACTATCATTGACAAAGATCTACAGGTGGTTTGGGGATACTTGGGGGAGATATTTCCACATCTTCAAATCTTCTTTATAGTATACTTAAAAACTTTGAATGTTGAGTTTTTACTCTTGAAGTCAAATTCTTCTCTATAGATGGATGAAACCGAAATTAGAAGTTTCTTTGCTAGATATGGTTCAGTAAAAGAAGTGAAGATAATCACGGATCGAACTGGTGTGTCCAAAGGGTAAGTACGTGTTCACTGTGAAAATAAAAAATAACTAACCTAGAAAAATTCAAAATTTGTGTTCTTACACTTGTATAAGTCTGTTGCTTTGTTCCTTTCTTTCATATAAAGGGTAAGTTTGTTGTCAGCTCTTCTACTTGTCATTTTCACAGTGTTTATATGTAAATATTTTCCATCATTTATTTTATTTAAGTGGATTAATCAGTTTTATCCAAGAGTTATTTTCTTTTCTCTCTTCTTTTTTTTTTAAAGATTTTTATTTATTGGGGCGCCTGGGTGGCTCAGTGGGTTAAAGCCTCTGCCTTCGGCTGAGGTCATGATCCCAGGGTCCTGGGATCAAGCCCTGCATCGGGCTCTCTGCTTGGCAGGGAGCCTGCTTCCTCCTCTCTCTCTGCCTGCCTCTCTGCCTACTTGTGATCTCTGTCAAATAAATAAATAAAAATCTTTTTTTTTTTTTTTAAGATTTTATTTATTTGACAGATAGAGATCACAGATAGAGGCAGGCAGAGAGAGAGGAGGAAGCAGGCTCCCTGCCAAGCAAAGAGCCCGATGCAGGGCTTGATCCCAGGACCCTGGGATCATGACCTCAGCCGAAGGCAGAGGCTTTAACCCACTGAGCCACCCAGGCGCCCCACAAAGAGTTATTTTCTTCATGTATTAAGCAGTATTTTAAATTTTAACCATCTTGCCTTAGATAATAAATTCAGGTTCATAGATAGGAATTTTCTGTTAACAAATGATGTTCTACACTACATTAAATCTTTACACATTCTGACATAGATCGGGGAAGAAAACAAAAAACAGTAACATTAATAGAGGATCGATCATGTACATCTAACATATTTATCTCAGTACATTCTTCATTTTTTATCATCATTTTTTTCAATCATTTCATGGAATATTAGAAGTTTTGTACTATTATGCTGGTGATTTTTACACATTATTTATCTGTGTTTTTAGCTATGGATTTGTTTCATTTTATAATGATGTGGATGTGCAGAAGATAGTAGAAGTAAGTAATCTTATGGCAAAATCTCTTAATTAGTTTAAGGATGCAATGCTTAGTGTTGTTTGAGTCCTGAATATATATAGCCTCGTATAAAATATAGAAATAACTTCCTGTTTGAAATCCAAACCTCAAGTAATCTTATGTAACTTGTCAGACCTGTTTATTTGTAATTGGACATCTGGCTTCATGAACTAGAGACAGGAAAGGTTTCAGAGTGTAAAATTTTTTGATCCAAGACTCTTTTCAACACTTGAGTGGTGAGATGTTAAGGTAGCTTCATGCCGATAAATTTTGATTGAGTATGTTGTTACTATTGATCTTCTCTGAGGGTATAGATTTTAGAAGACCTGGGGTGTTTACCAAAGTCTCGAAAGTAGACTTTGAAAATTGATTTTAGTTTCGTTGTTTATTTTCAGTCACAGATAAATTTCCATGGTAAAAAGCTGAAACTGGGACCTGCAATCAGGAAACAAAATTTATGTAAGTAAAGAGGAGAGTTATTCTTTTCGACATGTATAACTTTTCAGAAAACTAAAAGTGGACTTTATTTTCATTTTATTCTTTAAAAAGGTGCTTATCATGTGCAGCCTCGTCCTTTGGTTTTTAATCCTCCACCTCCGCCACAGTTTCAGAGTGTATGGAGTAATCCAAACACTGAAACTTACATGCAGCCTCCAACCATGATGAATCCTATAACTCAGTATGTTCAGGTAGGAATTACCTATATTCTTCTTCCTTTATTTTTTAATGATTTTGGATATTTTTATTGATGGGGCCACCTTAAAAATAAGCCAATCTCACATTTTACTCTCTGAAATGAGAAATGGTGGAATTTCCATAATAAGTGATATTACTCTCTGAATACTTTGAGTGATGGGAAGGAAATCTGTTACTTTTGTTAGAAATCTTTTGTTCTTAGTTTTGTTTCTTATACCAAGCTAAAATCTGCTGCTATATAGTTTGTAAACCTTTATCTTAGAACTGACCTCTGTAGCTACAAAAACATACTCATCTGTTTTTCCCTGCCATGTGGTGACTCCTAAAATATTTGAAGGCAGCTTTTCTTACATGTTTGCCTGGTTTATTCTCTAAGTTTGGCAGTTCTAGTTATTCTTTATTTGCAGTGATTTTCAGATGCCTTCTCATACAGATTCCTGGCTTTTGGATGTGTTCTGGTTCTAGAATGGGGAAAGGTTTCTAAAGACAACTGTATTTGTAAATTCTGTGAGTTTCTGGTATATAATTTATTTGTTTGGTCCTGGTTTCTTTAATATTTGTAATGGGCTTTGGAATACTTATTGATGATGAGTAACAATGATTTTTTTCTTTATTTCTTCAGTTTAAAAAACTTTTATTTGCAGGAAAAGAGAAATAGTAGTGAAGTAGTTCTGTAGTGTCTCTCATTAGTTTACATTTCCCACCTATCTGAAATGTAGGGTATATATTTGTTATTTTTCTGGCTCTAAACATGGTTAGAAGAAAACCCCTACTTGTTCCTAATACTTACTGTGAAGTATTATTTATTTGGGTCTATTCATGTATATATTACATAGACAATTTCAATCAGTAAATATTGAAAGGTGTAAGACATTCTATTACGTTTTTTTTTTTCCCCTTCAGTTTTAGGTTAAATATGGCCTTTACCTTTTAGAAATGAAATACAGAGCCATTGAGTATGTAGGAGGACTACACATTGGCTACACATTACCCAAAAGGAATACAAATTTCTTGAAAATGTTTAAACAAAGAAATAACAGGTGTATTAATATAACTTTAACATGGAAGTCTATTCTATTAGAACTTTATCACCAGTTAAGGAAGACACTTCTTAGTGGAGGTAAATATACAAGTAAGATAAGATAAATGGGTAAAGTCAGTCACTTCCCTCAGTTATCTCTTCCTCCTCCCCAACCAAAAGACTTAACATTTGACAAAGAATTTATCTTCATGAAGCCAATCACTCCAATATAATTCTGCATTTGTGTATAGAAAAATAAGATTTCTTTGTTTTCATACTTGGGTTGTATTGGGAATAATACTTCCTTTTAATTTTTAAGAATTTTGTTTGTTAATGCAGTCTTTCTACAAACTTTATTCTCAGGCCTATCCTCCTTATCCAAGTTCACCTGTTCAGGTCATCACTGGATATCAGCTGCCTGTATATAATTATCAGGTAATTTAAGAGGGAACAACATGATTTACTTTGGAATACTATTGAGGCCTTTATTCATATAAATTTCTGTAATAGTTTGTTTAGTTGAGTATGCTTAAAATAAGGTAAACAGTTAGAATGAGTCTAGGATTAGGACCTCTAGTTATTTAGAAAACATGGAATGTATTTTAACAGGAATATACTTAGCACAAAGTTTTGTCTTGTATTGTCTTAGAATATTTGCTGTCCTCTTCTGTATTTCAGCATACATTCTTCCATCCTTGTTGTCAAATAGCTGAAATGTCCTGACTGACTTTTACAATTTCTTCTAGTGGGATTGGTCAAAATAAAATGATTACTCAATTCTTAGAGCATATATTTGGTAGTGTTTATTTTAGCTGACTACTACAAGGGAGTAGGTCTCTGAATTTCTACCATAGATATGGTCATATCTGTGACCCATGACCATTATCTATGGTCATAAATTCAAAGCTATTTTTTTTATTTTTTTCTGAAATCCAACCTAAAATTGAGAAAAACTTAGAGTTTATATATGAAAGTAACAAACCCTCAGGTATTAGAAACATAAAGTCCTTTTTCCTTCCATTATGTTTCTGTTACTACAAGTTCAAGGATCCAGCTTGATAAATACCTCAACATTGTCTTTCACATTCGTGAAAATTTATAGGAATGGTTAACTAACTGTTATTGCCTCTCTCTCTCTCTCTCTCTTTTTCTCTCTCTCTCTCTTTTTTTTTTTTTAAGATGCCACCACAGTGGCCTGCTGGAGAACAAAGGAGTTATGTTATACCCCCGGTAAGGTGAATTAGCCAAACATATACTTTCTTTAATTTTTTATTATTTATTTACTTATTTATTTTTGGAGAGGGAGAGAGAGTGGAGGGGAAGAGGGAGAGAGATATTTAAGCTCTTTCAGAGCAGACAATGGCTGCTCTGCATACAACAGGTGCTAAATTGTATATAATCCAAGAAAAATAGTATTAATACCTATGCTAATTCTAATTCAATGAACTTAGAATTAGTATTGAAACTGTCTCTAGTTTTCTACCCATAAAAACATCTGTTGAAGAAAAGCATATATTTCACTGTTAATACTGTTATATGAGAAATAAAAGAGGCTGTTAGCTCTGAAACACTTGAGCCTTTACCTTTTTTACCTTTTTTTTTTTTCTTTTTTTCCCGAGCCTTTACCTTTTACCAGGATTGGACCTTTGAATAATATAACATGAGTTAAAATTCTCAGGCACTGGTAAATTCTTATTCTATTACTACACGTTGGAGTGTCTTTTTCTTAGAGTCCTTCTAATCTAATTTTGTTGAAGCTTAGAAGACTTTTCAAATAAAAGACTATCTTAGTGCTTTTCAGCTATTCAATTTAAAGTTTCTGAAATAATACAAAAATGACAACACAACCCACATTTAAATGCTAAATATAAGCTCACTAATTTGAAGAATAAATTGTTTAGAAATGTATCTAATGTATATCTCTTTAATTATACTTTTATTGTAATTTAGGCTTATACTGCTGTTAACTACCACTGTAATGAAGTTGATCCAGGAGCTGAAGTTTTGCAAAATGAATGTTCAGTTCATGAAGCTACTCCATCCTCAGGAAATGGCCCACAAAAGGCAAACATCTAATTTTGTTTATTGATATTTATATTTTAACAATTATTTTTTGAAGTTTTAATAATGTCCCTTTGAGATGTAAGCATCTTTTTTCAAATTTAAGTATGGAAGCCAAAAATTACAGAGCTTAAGTAACTGACTAATAATTTGGCAGTTTTTATAAAAGTTGATGAAATTTCGGGTAACCCCAAGCTTTGAGTGTTTACATATAGTTTCTGATATAGTAGACCTATTCTCTCTTATATTTTCATGGTTTTTAAAATCATACTTAAGTAACTATTAATGTAATTGGTAGAATGCGGAAGATAGGTAGGTTTCCTCAAGAATCCTCTCTTCAAGAGAGATTAGTATGAATTACACCTACCTTTTTTCCCATTTAAACATTTATTTAGCTGAATAGTAATATGTAATTATTTATTGTATTCTTTCCATAACATTATATATGGTAGCAGCTCTCAAGAGTGGTGGAGTCACTAGTTATAATTGAAATACTGAAATAGGTGGAGTTGCTTCTTTTTTAATCATTAGAACAAACTATTAGCAGTGCTCTCTTCAGTGCTCCTATGTTTTTCTTGAGTGTGGGAATGTGGAAATAGTTGATGTGATAGGAATGTATATAATAATATTGAAGGTTTCCCATTGGATTGTGTGAAATTTGTCCTTGTGTTTCTCAATGGAAGAAGCTGTTGAGAACTACTCAACTACAGAGTAAAAAAAAAAAAATGCCTTGATTTGAGTGATAAATAGTTAAAATTATCAGGTTTTAGCCTGGATGTTTTTTCTTGGAATGTTGAAGTTCACTGTTTCTTATCTATCAGGAAAAATTAAAGAGCCTTGAGCAAATATCTGAGGGTTTTACTAAATTGAGCTTTACAACTAGTACTCTTAAGATTCTAAAAAATTTTATTTGATAAAAAGTTACATATTGACATGTAATGAATTACATGAAAATGTAATATATTGTAAATTACATAATATTTTATAGATTATATAAGAATTCTTCAGAAAGAAGCACATGTATTCGTTCAACTTTCTTTAAAAAACTTGTTAAAGTGAGTAAAGTACTTCTCTTTTCAGAAATCTGTGGACAGAAGCATACAAACTGTGGTATCTTGTCTATTTAACCCAGAGAACAGACTGAGAAACTCTCTTGTTACTCAGGACGACTACTTCAAGGTATGACAGAATAGTATACAGGATAAAAAGCATATCTGTCAGCTATGAAGCATCTTTTTTTCTGTGGTATATATGTTTTGAGATTACAAAGAGCATTTAATTGAACTCTTGGATTAGACTGTAACTAAGAAAACCTCTGTGAGTGAGTTTTACCTGGCTATTTTATGCTGCTCAAACCTTGATATAGTGTAGTTTGTCTTTAGGGAAGAAACCTTTAGCAGAAGTTTATAATTGAAAAGGTTGTGAAAGAAGAGAGTTGAAAGAGAATATTGGCTTGACCAAATGGAAAAAGAGGAAATTTTAGGTACACAAAGCAGAACATACCTCGGAGATACCTCAGGTTCAGTTTCATACTGGTGCAATAGGATAAATATGCAATAAAGTAAGTCAAATGAATTTTTTTGTTTCTCGGTACATATAAAAGTTATGTTCACACTGCACTGTAGTCTATGAAGTGTGCAATAGCAGTATATCTAGAAAAAAGTTTATATATATCTTAATTAAAATATACTTTATTGCTTAAAAAAATGCTGTCATCTGAGCTTTCAGTGAGTCAGAATCACTGACCCTAGATAACCATAACAAATAACAATAATAATAATGTGTGAAATATTAAGAGAATTACTAAAATGTAACACAGAGACACAAAGGGAACAAATGCTGTGGGAAAAATGGTGCCAGTAGACTTTCAGTTCACTCTAATGGGGGAGGAATATTGTGCAAAAGAAAGTTTTTTTTTTATAACAGGTTTATTGAGATATAGTAATACAGTAAACCCATTTAAAACAATTCCATTTTTTAGTGTATTCACAAAATTGTGCAATCATGACCGCAATCAGTTTTAGAATATTTTAATCCCCTCTTAAGCCATTAGCAGTCACTCTTTATTTCCCCCTTCTTCTACCCCTAGGGAGTCACTAACCTGCTTTTTTTTTTTTTTAATAAAGATTTTCCTATTCTGGACATTTCATATAAATAGAATAATGCAATATGTGACATTTTGTGACTGGCTTCCTTAGCATAATGCTTTTAAGGTTCATCAATGTTACAGTGTATATCAGTACTTCATCTCTTTTTATTTATGAATATACTACCCTTTGTGTATTTATTACTTAAGAGACAACTTGGGTTGTTTCCACTTTCTAACTCTGATGAAAAATGCTGTGAACATTCATGGACAAGTTACTCTGTGGACCTATGCTTTTATTTCTGTTAGGTATATACCTGGGAATGAAATTGCTGACTAATAGTAACTATGTTTAACCTTTTGAGAAATTGCTAGAATTTTTCCAAAATGACTTACACCATTTTATATTCAAAGGGAAGTTTTTAACTATTGTTTTCTGTCTTAAAACAAGGAAAGGATAATAGCTTTTTTTCTGCCTATGAATGGGCATAGGATGAAACTTAAAGCCTTTTTAAAGGATATACAAGGACTTCTTAATACAGAAGAAGAGCAGAGCCATAGCAGGATTAAGTTATTGTCATCTTCACAATAGGAAGTAAAACACATTGATTTAAAATTTCGACGTTTGTTCTCTTAGTATTTCATTATACACAGACAGTATAATTTAAAAGGAAAGAACTAGGGTTGTATGGCAGCCTACCTTTCCCAAAGTTCTGAAGGTTAAATAGGTAGTACTTAAATGATTTGTTTGCAAAAGAGAAAGTACTATTTAAACTTGAGTTTTCACCTGGTATTAGGCAAAAACCTTACTTTGAATCTTCAGTTTTCTGTTCTTCTGCACTAGGAGTCAAAAGTTGGTAGTTTAAAATTGTCTGGTATCTAGACCTCTTTTGATTGGCTAAATGTTATTGTTGTTTTAATTGAATTTGAATGTATCAAGGCAAGGTATATACTTTTCCATGTTGTCTTTAAAATCTTCACATCCTACCTGATCTCTGAAGATAACTTGAGTTTGTGACCACTTTTCTGGGCTTTAACCTAAATAGAATATTATCCTGTTGACAGATTGCAAAATTTCCAGAAGCCACTCTTCTTTATATGACAACTGAATTTAATCTTAGGAAAAGGGCACAGTTAAGCTCTTAGAGAAAAGAAAATACCATCATGTTAGTACTAGTTCATTCAGCTCCATTCCTTTTTATAAGGCCTTACTTCCTTTTTTTTTTTTTAAGATTTTTTTATTTATTGATTTGACAGAGAGAGATCACAAGTAGACAGAGAAGCAGGCAGAGAGAGAGAGGGAAGCAGGCTCTCTGCTGAGCAGAGAGCCCGATGCGGGACTCGATCCCAGGACCCTGAGATCATGACCTGAGCCGAAGGCAGCGGCTTAACCCACTGAGCCACCCAGGCGCCCCAAGGCCTTACTTCCTAATATTTGCACATCCGCAGGCAACATAAAGTGAAAGGAAATTTTATGTATTTTTTTTATTTATCTCTTCATTTCCTGAAGAATGATATATCTTGATCACAAGTTAAGGGTATGCCTTTAAATACAGCAAAATTTTTGTTTTTTAACCTAAAAGCATAGCATTTCAGTTTGAAATGGAGTGCTGTACTCAAGCTGTGATTTCTACCAGATGCACTCTGTTAGTAAAAACAGTACTTTTAAAAAATTACGTATGTTTTCTACCAGCTGTCTTTGGTGACATCACTGCCAAATCATTAATTAAGAATCTTTAATAAAGTGACATTGACTCCCAGGTCCTCTGTTTCGGAGTTTACTGAGATTTCTTTTTATATTGTTGAATAAAACTAGGTCATTGGTATATTTGTTATCTTAAAGTTCAAGAAAGCTTCCCAGAAAGGATCATTTTTCTCTGGTTATTTATAGTTTTTTTTAAACCCAGAATAAATGCTTTAAGTATTTTGCAACTATCTTAGGTCATAGTGATAATACAAAATTTCCAATAAAGTAAAAAAGGACTGTTTCTGTCTTTTCTAGGATAAAAGAGTACATCACTTTAGAAGAAGTCGAGCAGTGCTTAAATCTGTTTGATCCTCTCTGCTTACTTTCTAGTCTCGTGGAAAGTTGCTGGTTTTGAATATTAAGAAGAGACTGAAAGTTTTCACTATTATAGAAGTTTAATTCTGAATTTTGATAACTCAGACTTTCTTACATAAGTTGTGGTAGATTGCCTAGTTTTATTTTACATTGAAACTGTTCATTAGATATTTATTTAGAAACTGGTTCTGTGTTCAATATATAGTTGAAAGTAAAAAATAATTGAGACTGAAAGGAATAACTTTATCTGTAAGGATTTTTTTAAATTGAAACTGACATTTTAAGAGTTTAAAAGCAATTGCTGATTTTCCAAAAATTAGAAAACCTATTTTGAAAGGTCAGAATTTTGATAGTTTGAATTCAAGCATTTCACTTCTCCAACAAGTACTTGTGAACAGTACAATATTTACAGTATTGTTCTTTACATTTGTGATTTGTCTCGAAATTTACCACAAAAGCAGAGTTTTTAAAACTGTATTTTTAATCAGTGGAACTCAATATATAGTTAGCTTTATTGAAGTCTTCCTTGTCTAAACCCAGTAAAAGAGAGTCTAAACAAACAGTCCAATCAGTGGGTCTTAAGTTTATTAGTTCAAAGTACTTGTTTTTTATCTAGAATCCACACATAGATATCTTATTTGATTGGGATGCTAATTAGGATAACTAAAATTCTGGGCATAATTTTTTTAAAAATCCAAAACAAACAAAACTTTACTAGGTACATAAGCTGCTTCTCAGTGAGTTACCATTCTCCTTTTTTCTTTCATTTTTTTTTCTTGAAATGCTAAACTCAATGGCTGTATCTTAAATTGTGCAAAATACTGCTATTAAAGAATGCTGAAACTTTTTTTATGTCACTTAAAAGGTTAATCAGAGTATCTGAAAGGAATTGTTTTTATAAAAACATTGAAATATTAGTTATTTGTTAAAGAGCAAATAGATTTTATTTTTGCCTGTTAACCTATTATAGTTCCCTTTTTAAAGTAAAATATGTTTAAAAGAGTCAAAGTGGTTGTGTTTCAAAACCACTAAAGTTTTAAGTGTATCTCTAGAATATACTAGGACAGAGCTAACAATCATTTCTAGATTAGCTAGTCTCCTTGTTAGATGTTGTAAATCGTGACAGACAGCTAGAGCACTAGAGCCCCTTTGCTGCCCTTACAAGTCTTGATTTTCCAGTCTGTAGCACCATTCTTCCAGGAGGTTTGCTCCTTGAACAGATGATATAAAGAAGAGAAGTAGCAACTTGAACAGTTTGAGGGCTAAGCCTTGAAAAGGTGGCAACAGGACAAAACCTTTCTAAGGGAAACACTGGATCAGCATCATTTGACCTGCCATGAAAATGAGTTTAAAGTGGCTTCCTGGCCTTTCTTTCATTGGTCCCTTCACTAAAAACATGGAGACTCTATTTAGCCCTAACGTAAGGCAACTACTGTGGGCCATATCATCAGTCTTCATTGTTGTCTTATAATCCCTAATAATTTTTACTCTGAATCTGAAGGGAAGAGTCTTTTAACTTAAGGATCCCTGAGAGGGCTTTCTTATGTCTCAGAATTTGAAAGTGCCCTGAAATTTATCCTTTAAAAAATTCTCTGTACTTTTTTTGGGCTGTGTTATAACATTCTTACATGTATCATTCTGTGATTAAATTTCCAGGTTACTCTAAATGATAACTAAATTTGAAAGAGCCAATTCTAATTATCCCAATGTGACCTTAAGAAAAGTAAGAGAATAAACTTTATTTTTCTGCTTTTTTGTTGGACTGAAGTATTTAAAAGAGTAAGGTAGAAATAAGAGACAAAAAGTCCTGAACCTTTCAAAATGGAAAATTAATTTTAAACTTATAAGTATGTTCCTATTACCTATTGTTGAAACTGTTTTTGCATAAATGAATAAACAGAAATAAAGAAACTTTTTTTTCCCAAACGCATTTCAACCTACTTATTCATGTCATATCAGCTAAAGAGATAGTGGGGAGTTGGGTGGGTAGTGATGTGAAAAGGTTTAGATTCTTAAAATTCAAAAGTTGTAAATATTGTTCAATTTATTAATCTGATGGAGTTACTTTATGAAAGCAAATTTTGATAGACTGCATTTTATTGCTCTCTTATGAAATTAAGAGATAGGTTTTTGTGAGAAAATAATCCCTCATAGGTTAAGTTGGAAATGGTTAATGGGTTCCAGTGCCATGAATTAACAGAGCGGTGCCTAGTGAGAATGCTGGTAAGTCACATGTAACTATAGTTTCATGACCAAGGTCCCTCTCATTTTGGACTCTATATATAAATATTTTGTGTACTGCATACTTTGGACCTCACCTCTGTGACCCTTATTTGGAAGTATTGTAGTTGTCTATGATAGAGCTTAAATTTTTCATATTATATGTACTTCGTATGAGGATTTATCCAAAAGATCATTACTCAAGCTCCAGTACTCAAGAGTTCTATAAACTAAGGCCAGAAGAGAGGAAATTCTCCCCTTTGGACGCTCTTATGCTACCTTTCATAACTGACTCATTACTAGAAAAATAGATACTAAGTTTTTCTAAGAAAAAAAAGAGTGCCTTCTGAATCACCAAAAATTAAGTTTTGATATTTAAAGTATAATTTGTTGGAGATTAGTAATCCTGAAATGTACATGTGTATGTATGTATACACACATACATATATACTGACCGTTTTTCAGAATATTTGATTAGCCCTGACTAAGCTAAATAAAAATGTATAACATTTTGAGACTGTAAAGCTAGACTACATATGTCTTAAAACAGTTGTTCTAAACCTGCTTGAAGGGGCACCTGGGAGGCTCAGTGGGTTAAAGCCTCTGCCTTCGGCTCAGGTCATGATCTGAGGGTCCTGGGATGGAGCCCCGCATCAGGATCTCTGCTCAGCAGGGCGCCTGCTTCCCCCTCTCTCTCTGCCTGCTTGTGATCTGTCTGTCAAATAAATAAATAAAATATTTTTTTAAAATGTCCTCAAACGTATTTTCAAGGGCACCTGGGTGGCTCAGTGGGTTAAGCCTCTGCCTTAGGCTCAGGGCATGATCTCAGGGTCCTGGGATCAAGCACCTAATTGGGCTCTCTGCTCAGCAGGGAGCCTGCTTGCTCCTCTCTCTCTCTCTCTGCCTGCCTCTGCCTACTTGTGATCTCTCTCTGTGTCAAATAAATAAAATCTTAAAAAAAAAAAAAACCTGCTTGATATTTATTATTTTTTTTTTTTTTACAATTTTGTTTATTTATTTGATAGAGAGGCAGAGAGAGAGAGGGGGAAGCAGGCTCTCTGCTGAGCAGATAGCCTGATGCAGGGCTGGATACCGGGACCCTGAGATCATGACCTGAGCTGAAGGCAGAGGCTTAACCCACTGAGCCACCCAGGTGCCCTGAAACCTGCTTGATATTTTAAACATATTTGCAAGTTGAGGATTACCTCAAAATTCTCAACACAAAACCAAGTCTTTGGGATTGAAAAAGAAATTTCATATAGCATCTTTTTTTGGTAAAATGTTGCAAATGATGACAAAAATCAAGTGAAGTCAAAAAGTTTGGTCAGCCCTATAAGAAATATATTGTGTGCTTTTTCCCTCTTAAGAACATGTAAACTTTGTATGGTTTAAAATAACTAATACTGATTACTCTATTTTAACTGCAAGGTATTTGTTGACTTTCAAAAATAAATACTCCACAGTAGTTCCTTGTATTCGTAAAGGTCTCTATCCACTTTCCTGAAATTCTCTTGGTTGTCTTTAAAGGTAAACTCATAAAAACAGGCCGCCACATTGCTTAATCGTCTTGCCTGCTTTCATAACTGTTGTTTGAGGGTAATAAGGAGCAGCAGTGATAAGGCAGCATGCCACTCTGCTTTTGCAAAGATGGCAATAGAGAGGGTGGGGGACAATAAGGGGGAGAAAAGCGGCAGTATTTTCCATTGACCAAGTCTTGCAAATAGGCCCAGCTGTTGAGTAGGATCATTTGGAATCCCTGAAACACTTCCAGATGAGGATTGCTCCTGTACATACATTGATAACTGTATAATCTAGCTCTTCCCGACATTACATGTAATATGTCTCTCTGTGTGTAACTGAATCTTCTTGAGCAATTCCTCAGCACCCATCATCAAAGACTCTGAGTTTTCCATCTGTAGACAGTACATTTGGTAGTAGAAAACAATAAACGTAAGAAGTTTAAACTATAAACATGCGTTTTTGAATGCTCATGCAAAATATTCAATCTGTAGCAAAGAAATGATAGGTAATTCTGATTTGCATTTAGAGTTAAAAACATCTGTCTAATATGGCTGTAGCTGTGGGCCAATCCCAAGGAAATGCAAAAAATTGTCTCTTGATACAGAAGTTGAAACTAGCACTGTACAATTAAGCTCTACAGTAGCTATATTTTATGTTTTAAACTGGTCTGAAACTGAAACTTTCCCACTTAGTCTCTAGTTCATTTCCCCAAGGCACATGGAGGCTTTGTATCTTATGTGTACCTCCATTAAGGCTGCATGCCAGGAATATGCCTTTTCCCACATAAAATTCCCAGATACCAGTTCAGTAGGTCTTTAACAATAGAACAAATGCTTGCATAACTGGGATATTGGGGTCATGAAAGCTCCTTATAAATTTGAAGCAATAACATTTCACGCAGTTCAGAAAGTTGGAGGTTTTATAATCCGTAATGAGTACTTTTTTACAGAAAACAGATCTAGCAAAAGTACATGAAGGTTCTAATCTCATCTATTGTCTTTCCCCAGAATAAAATGAATAGAAACATACTCTGTTCTGGCTCAATCTTGGGTGAAACTATTTATTGTAGAAGAAAGGCAGGTCAAGTCAACTGATCTTTACTGGTATATCCAGATCCACTGTTTACAGTTGGGCTGGTCCCCTCTGCCCTTGCACACTTGTTAAAAATGTTTAATATTACCGATTTACCACCCCCCCCCCAGAATAAATGGCTAGACTAGTAGGAATGGAGAGAAATCATTTAAAATACAGAGGCCATTTTCTGTTTTTTTCCTAAGCTTATCCCCTACCTAGTGTTTAGTTGCTTCACTGTGTAAAATCTGAACACTGCTTAAGTAATACACCTGCT